GAGCTAGGTCAGGGCTATAGGGTGGCTGCGGCAGCTCATCCTTCAACAATTTGGGGACCAGCTTGGTGCACACCTTTCACATGTTCAATTCGTCTGTAACGATGCGATGCACAACGGTTTTTGGAATGTTCAGAGTGTCGGCTAACAACCGGACAGTCATTTGATGGTCAGTATTCAACAAATGACGCACACGAGTCACATTTTCATCGGTTTGGCTTGTTGATGGCCGTCCAGAGCGGGGGTCATCTTCCACTCCTTCCTGGCCCGCCTTAAACTTCTTCACCCACCTTGTAACTTGCACATATGATAGAGCAGACTCCCCATAGGCTTGCTTAAGCAGTTCATGAGTTTCGACAGCTTTTTTGTTGAGCTTTGTGCAGAACTTGACCGCCCAACGTTGTTCGAAAGTATCCGCCATCGCGCGCTGTGATGTGGTCACAAAACACAGGTGCACTAAATCAGCGATACTGATGCCTCCAATGCTCGAGCAGACTGACCTTGGGCGCGCTGTGAAGCTAAAGGCCTCCCCCCCCCAACCCAATCGGTTCCAGCGCACTCCGACCAGTAGGAGCTTGGGAAAGAAATATATTTCATGACTTTTGGGACACACCTTGTATATACTGTCATATGTAAGGGTGACTATAGATGGGGTTTGGATTGGGTAATGGATTTATTGAGCAATTATACACATGCATTAGAGCTCTGTCACTGATCTACACATTTTACTAATCACTACAGCGCATTTTAAGTCTCAGTTTTTTGTAGTCTTCCATAGTCATTGCATGGTAACAGCTCTCAGCAATAGAGATTCTTCAGCTGCTATGCTCATGCAGTTGTCCGCTGGCTGATACTACTCACAACTGAATTCATTGCTCCAAACTGACCATGTTATAACATCTCGTTGCAGACCACATAGAAAACATCATTCTTCTGTTGTTGTGTTCATGTAAATTTCTGTGGCAAAGTACTTACCCAGCCATTGCCCAGAAATGGCTGCAGTGCGGACCACAGAAAACATCTTTTTTTCTATTGTTGCGTACGTGTATGTTGCGGGTGTTACCAAGCAAAGGCCACTGTTTACACAGTCACTGCTTAGCAGTTGGTGTATATGCCACAATACATATAATATTACAAAATGGTTCATTCTGTGATTCACGAAGCACCATATCAAAGAAAAGGCAGGAAGAAAAGATGTATAGAATTTTGAACTTGTGACTTCTCTTTATAGGCATGGCAGCCATTATGAGCTGGTAGATTCTGAGGCCCAGTGGAAAGAGGTGCAGCGAAAACAGGCTGAGGGTGGGACAGACATTCACCAAGCTACAGTGATAACCAACAGGCGCTCTGGTTATATGAACAGTGGCATGGAAACTGAATCAGAAGTTTCATATCATCACAAACGCAAACAGAAGAAGCATAGGTATGTTTAAGCAGATATATTTTATCCCACTATTATTCTTCACAGTAACCACACTTTTGTTTGCTAATAATAACTTCTTGAAACAGATGACTAAGTTTCATTACGGTTGAAATGAAGACCATGGCACTTGTGATTATACCATTCTTGTATTACTAGTCTACTGTCATGAGCCATATTCATAGAAAAGTGTGAGCTGGTCCAGATGTTATAGCAGAGAGAAAAGTACCTGCTCCTTCCTGGAATCAAACCTTTGTCATCCATCCTAGGGCCATATAATTTACTGAGCCATAAGGCATATCTAATGACAAACTGTACTTTAATTGAGTTAAAGAAAACTTTGTATATAATCTAAAAATAATCTATTATGTATGAAGAGTACAATCTTCTGTGTTGTACCACCGTGTTTGGTCTACCTGTGTTTTTTGTCACATATTGTAGGTGGTGTTTTATTATCTGGGGTTCGCTGTCATATTATCTGGAAGTAAATCATGCCCTTCATAGTGGTCTCTGATGAGGACCTCAATTCTAATCTCTTATCTAATTTAAATATAAAAATTGTTTATAGAGTTATGAACATTAACCAGAACAGTTAAAAAATGCAATTAACCTTTATCGGACGGGCCATTTAATTTCCGGTAGGGGCAGCTGGACAGAGTTTATTTAAATGCCCGCCCTTCTAGAGCAATGAAATTGTAAGCATGTTTCTAAAATGGTGTGATTTCTACATTTTTTATGATAAACGAACGAAATGAACGCTCCTTTAATGTAGAAAGAATATAGAATCAGATATTCTAATTTACAGATTTTAATATCTGTAAAAAAATTTTACACTGATTCCCAAAATAAAATTTCCCGAAATTCATACATTTTCTGCACCATGCGTTCTAGCAGTGTAATACATGTTCTGCACCATGTGTTTTAGCAGTGTAAGTCCTTGTGGCGACTTCACATTCAATGGTATCTCTTGTTGTTGCTTATTTATCGTATATAGGACATGTCGCTATGCAGGACTGT